CCCCCTTATGAACAACACATTTTCGTACACGATAAAAGCTCTTTGTGGTTTCTCGGTTTGGCCAATTTAAGCATCCATAAACAACGCAAAACACTGGCATTTGGAGTTTCTGCTAGTGACTCCTATGGAGAGAAAAATCACTTCCTGCCCTCCAGCTGCATTTCGCGCGTCATCAGTGACGTCATGTGCAAACAACCTATTCCCCGACAGTAAACTTAAGCCGCGTTCTATTTATGACATACTGACACAAAGTTCAAATGATTGGCAACGGTCGCTTTGTCGCGTCCAGTGTAGACAGACTTTGGGGCCGTTCACATGTTGCGCCTAAAAACGCGTGGAAAACGTCAGCCGCCCCGCATTCTCCTTATTTCCAAAGCGTTCGGGAGCTTGCGCTTTCGTGGCGTTTGCCATTGCAAAGCAACAGTTACCTGCGCTCTCCACGACGACGCGGAAGTTTCAACAAAGGATAAACGGATTTCCAGCACTGAAAATCGCGTGCAGTAGCTCTGCTACTAAATGTATTTAAAATGGGTATCTCTGTACAGCTGTCGCCTCCGGTGTAGACGCGATGTCTGCGTGTGAGCAAAGAAAACAATCAGTATAAATATAACGATCAGTGTACTAAATATCGCACATCCTGCGATGTGATTATCGCGGATGCGCACATCGCGATATCGACGCTGAAACGATATATCGTTTAGCCCTAACTTGATGTATAGTCCCGGTATCACAAAAACGGGATTGTTGAACTCAGAAGCTGCTTTGTGTCAGCTAAATACTTTGTTTGAAATGTATTCAGTAATATATCAAAATGACATCTTATTTACTGTATTTCTTCTATTTTTCGGGCCTCTGTCTGTGTGGCTTTTATGATCTCTTCCTTTTTTATTTTTGTTTAAATCTGCTGGGGGGACAAGCTATGATGAGTGGGGTCTGCTAAGGTCTTATACAGCAGTATTTCTCCGTTAGGGGGTCGAGAACCAAAAATGGGTCACAGGTCTGTTTTGATTGTGTCACAGACAGCAGAGAAATATAAGAATAATATACATTTTATAAAAGAAAAGAATGTTTATATAAAAATGATGAATTATGTAATTTTGTTATAATAATATCATCATATAATTTATATAATTAAAAATAATAATGTTAAATTTTAAAATTAATAATATTTGTAAGTTGAATTGTACAAAATATAAAAATTTTAAAAACAAATTCTAGTCTAGTCCTTCTCAACTGGTGGTGAAAAACAATGCAAATAATAATACCCAACTAACCATGTAATCACACATAACTAAAAAAGTTATTATATAGGTAGATGCTGTATATTTTTCCATTGATGGCCAATTGTTGGATACTTCCGGGGGGTCTTTCACCAGCCAAACATCTGTCATTGAGATGAATGGGAAAGCTTAACAGATAGCTTTCTCCAGGTATTATAAACCTCCTTGGGCCCACCCATAAAAAAAGAGATGTTTGATTGATTAGACCTGCATTTCAGAGAGATTCCTTTGCAAATCAATGACTGCCTGCATGTAAGCGTTAATGAAATTGCACACCGGCAGAAGTGAGCTGACTTTTTCCATGACGGAGTTAAGAGTCTGCACTTTCTCTAAAAGCCCTGTGGAGATCTTTCCCCTTTTAACGTCTCCATGAAAATGTAATTCGATTCAAAAATTTTACAGCCACTGAAGTGTCTCCAAGTTGATTTATTTATTTATTAGTAAATGAAAGTAATGAAATGCTTAAACACATTTCAATAGCGCTGTTTTGTGCTGCTCTGGCTTTATTGGCTTCCGAGCACCCACAAAGATTTACTCATTTGATTAATGCATTAGGTGCTTTTACAATATTTAGCAAAGCACGGACCCTCTTAATTTATAACACCCCGGCTAAATGAAAATGGAAAAATATCTGCTTTCCTCTCAAGCTTGATATTACGTTTTGAAGCACAATGTTGAAAGCGCTGCGATTCATTATTAATGCTCACAATATAAATAGTTTAGATCTTATTAATATTTCATTTATGGTAGAAAAAAAGATTTGAGTGACTGCTACAGTATTGGAGAAATTGTAAATATATTATAAAGACAGTTCATAGGAAATATCGCCGGTAGGAAAAGCAACTGTAAACACACGTACGCCATATGCGTTTCTTTTGATATCGTTCATGCTTCACTCACTGAGCGTAATATTTAATAAAAGTGTCCAAAGGCTTTGTTAAATACTCTTGGATGATGGTGAGGTGCACGTGCCTAGCGTGAGTATGGTTGGCTCTCTGGGCTGTGTGTCGTAAGCAGATAACTTATGTGTTTTATGGATCTTTTGAGCACTGTAACCGCCATCACAACAGAGATCTTTAATCTCACTGATGTGTGTTCGCCATCGCACTGGGACAGTCCTTGAGTAGAGGTCAGGTGATAATCTGTAAATGCCAGGACGTGGGACCCTGAGAAAGCGAAAAAGGAATATAAGCTTTTAGAGATCATTAAACATTAATACAGTGTGATTTGTGTGTCGAGCCCTTGTGCTGAATTTCAGTCTACATCATTATAGAATTTCATCTCGGGGACCCTCTGAAGTGGCTCCATGTCAAACAGGAGATCAGATTGTAAGCGCCTTTAGAGGAACTGATTAACTTCTGGTTTGCACAATCGCTCACAGGCCGAGGACCGAAGTGTTTTATCTGCATCCGCTTGAAGCCCCTAAATAAATTGGCTAAATTGGTTTTCAGAGCAGCTGAATCCAGATTGGGCAAATATTTAACAGGTTTTTCTTCTGCCAATACCATTACATGTGGAGACGTCCTCGTGTCTTCTTTTTTTCCAGAATGGTCATCAAACTGGAAAATGATTGACAGTAGGTGTCAGTAGTTGAGTTTGCCAGTAGATGGGAGTCTTTCCTAAGTGTTTTAGTACACTGAGTTGGGTCAAGGTTCAGTTTTTTTTTTGAGATGTTGTTTTTAATGGCTCATCTTCTCTAGCGTGGCTTGTCATGCCGAATATATATCTCACTAGTTATATTATTGTTTGATCCTAGTAGAAACTATGATTAATGTAGCAATTTGCTGAATTAATAAAGAACGTGTGTTTATTGGCATTTTACAGCAGCTTTGAAGGCAGCTCATCCGATCAAAATTAAGTCTGAACTTTCAGTTTTATAATAGATGTCATGTATTTGATAAACACTACTATGTCACACAGAGCCAGAGAACACATTCATCATAGTCTTGTCAAACAATGCAAAACATGACCATTAGAGGGAGTACTTTTCACACAGACAGACGTTCATTTACTTATGCTGATAAATGTCCCCTTGTCTTTTTGAAGGAATTTCTGGTTACTGGGAGCTGAAGACTGGATTTGGCAGTGCAGTCACAGACGTAAGAGATGGTCCCTGTTTCAAAAAAATATATTAGAGAAATCTCAACTTTTCTGCAAGCTCATTTTATGCAATGTTGTATGTTTGGGATGAGAATCTGGAACAATACAGATCATTCCTGTTGTCTATTACCTTTTGAGCTACTCTAATTTATGGGTTAATTTCTAATTTATGGGCATTGTCTAAACTCAGATAATACTAAAATAATAATATAAAGCATATATAGTATTATACATTCATTTAATCATTATTATAATAATAAAAAACTTTTTTGTTTGTATTAAATTTTATACATAATATTTTTTATATATAATTACAGTATAATATGTTTTATGTATAATTACCAATTCCTGCATGTTTGGTTTAAAATATTTCTAGTAGAAAATAAAGTCTGAAATACACCTGAAATATTTCCAAATAAATTGCCTGAATAATGGACATGACAAAAATAACAAACATATCTGCTCAAACCAATATACAATTCATAACTGTGATGTTGTGAGATGATAATATGATTTCTGTCTTTACAAAAAATGTATTATATATTTATTATATTTTTAAATAATATTTTACCATAAATATAACAAAGACAAATGTGATGGAAATATTAACATTTACTACATAGCAAAAATGACAAATTTGTATTTTAAAGAAACCATTGAATGGAACTGAATTCCAACATTTAGTTAAGACTTAAAATAATATGCAATTTTGTCTTTTTTTCAGAATCTTGGTCTGAAAGAGCAGAACCTTTAAATACAAATTTAAAAGTAAACCTCCTGTACAGAGAAACAGTAAGGAGTTGCTCAGGTAATGCATCAATTTCATTAAATTGTAATGAAATCTGAACATTTTTGAATGTTTTCTCATACCTCTACATCTCTTTAAAAGGGTGAGGTACACTGGACAGACGGAACTCTCCCAAGTCTTCTGGAAGTGTGGCAGCACGTGGTCACATGACCTGGAAGAGAAAACCCAAGAGACTTCTGGGATCCCTCTCTGGTCAGTGACACATTTTATGAATTTCAAAACACCTTTTTTTGGTTAAAACCTCCCACACATGGTGTATTCACAGAAATGTCAGACACTTAACTAGAAGCCGAAGCTTTTGGCCTCTTTTTTTTTTTTTTTTACGAGATGTTCTTGATGAAGGATTCAGTTAACCGTGAGATAAGTAAATCAGCGCACATATGGCTTGTGTGATTTCACCCGTGCTCTTAAGGCAAACACCCTTTCGCTACACGGAGACCCTGATGCGGAGAAGGTGTAATGTATGGCAGCCTCGCATGACTGACAAACGTGCCTTAAACTGACATGACGACACAGTGTGTTGTTGTGATTTGCCCTTCTGCCTGCAGAATGGGCCGGTTATCAACCTGGAAAGAAGTCTAAAGGCTGATGAACTGATCCGCACAGCGACACAGCTGCGCTCTCTTTCCCTCTTCGTCTGGCCAATCTCTCCATTTATGTCCTGAGATCCACAACTTTCTGCAACTCTGGTGAGTACAGTGCCCTTTTTCTTTAGAATCCTTCTAATCCTTATGATCTTGCTGAACTGGTTCTTGCAGGTTCCTCTTAGGCCCGCCGTCTGTTTTTGAGCAGGAAATGCCATTATGGGAAATGGGATGACCTTTTGCGTTGGCAATCTATTGATGAATCAGCATCCATTCGGCTGGGAGCTTTCGCTGACTGTTGTAGGCCTCGAAGCGCTTGGGTTTATTTCTGTGCTGAATGCAAAGTGCGTATGTATTGATTTCCCCGCCCCCCACCATTGAATGCTATGAGCATGTTTCTGAAGGAGAGAGTAATTTGCAGTAGTATGGGAAAATATGACTGTGATATATTTAGGTGGTGTGACGTGAGACTTTCTTGCTGACTGTGCTTGCAGTTCAAGGCCTGGTTGATTCTGATGGAGCGAATGCTGTAGAAACTAGGCTAACTATCGTAATGAATATTAATGGCGGATGTGTGCGTGTTTGCATCTGTCGCCATGATGTTGCGTCACGGTTATTTCCTGTCTCAGACACCTCAGAGGGAACTCTCAAGGGAGTTCTTGTCCTTTGTCATTGCAAGTAGTTTTGCCACATTGGCAGCTTTTGCTCAAGGGCCATCAGCGAAGGAACTGCGGAATAGTGCATTAAAAATAACTCTCGTGAACCGGCGAGAGCTTGTGTCACACGTTGGCTCATGTTGGTGGTGAAAGGGGATGCCGGCGCTTTGTCACGACGCAATCGTGAGCTCACCCTGACAGGCTTCGCTTAGATGCTGAGAAATGCTTTGGATTGGATGGTAGGCAGGCACTCAAACAGAGCCATTTTAACCAGCACTGACACGTCATGTGAAAAAATCTCTTCATATGTCCTTTCATAATAACACAGCTACTGTACGTACACAGAGATAAGGTGTAGATCACTTTTCACCCCAAAATCAAAGATTTTTTTTTTTTGATTGTGACATTAAATTGAACTATTAATTATTAAATTAAACACAGTTTCTCACCAAAATTTAATTTCCATAATGCATAGGTTCTCAGCCTTTTTGATTTGAAGCCCTCCTACATAGTGTAATCTAGTTCTGTTAATATTATACTATGTAGGTGGGCTTCAAGTATATATTAAATTTAAATAGATTATTAACTAAAAACTGGGAGACTGTCAATGTGGGTATATTAATTGCCTTAATTAATTTTGTGATTTCAGAAATTTCAGTTGAGGAAACAAAAGAAACATTTCACTTTATGTTGTGATGAGCTCGCCAGTTGCACAAACATCAGTTACACAAGCATATTATGCCTGATATTATAATGAACAGCATCAATGGGGAGTCGGCTGTCGGCTCTCTCTCTCTCTCGAAAAATAAGCCCGCTGTTAAGCACTCCGCTTTCGTCGGGCACGCTCCGAGGAGTGTGTCCGTGCCTGTGATCTTGCGATTGCAGTCCCGCTGCTGCTGAGGCACGGCGGCGACTGAGTTCGTGGGAATCGCATATGATCTGGTGGACGGGTTGGAGACGGCTCGTCCTATCTCCACCCGTGTTCCCTAGATCAAGAGCTCGTTCTCGAGGCTGGAAGCCCGCGCTGCGGTTCTTCCCCCTCTCAGCGAGTGCTGCGGCCCTCTTACTCTGAGGAGAT